GCAACGGAAGGAATGACGGCGCGTGCCAGGTCGGATGTGGCCATGAGGCGTTTCAAGCGAAGACGCACGCCGCGAAGCGTCGTGGGACACCCACGCAATGCTGCAGCTGCCGCAACAGCGGCTGCACCAGTGTCGCCAGCACCGCTGCTGCCACTACCACTGCCGCCGCCATCGTCTGTGTCGCTGGCGGGGTGGGCGTGCCGGCGGTAGTGTGTCTCGTCCTGCACAAGCAGGAGCCGTGTGTGGGCGCTGTCAGCACCGCCACCGCCGCCATCATCCTCGTACATGTGATGGCGTCGTCTTGACCCTCCACTGCCACCACCACTCGCACCGCCGCCACTGCTACTGCTCGCAGAAGCAGCTGTTGCGTTGGTGGTCATTGCCGTGCTGCTACTTCGGCTGCTGCTGCCGCTGCTTCGGCTGCTGCTGTTGTTGTGGAGGTTACTGTGGCCGCTATGATTTCATAGCCACACACTCACATACACACACACACAACACAACACACGTGTCCTTCCGCACTACACAGCTGCTTGAACTTAACGCCGCGTTGTGTGATGGGATGGCGCTGCCCGTGTTGCTTCAGGATCAGCACTCTGACCACCCTTTGCTGCTTGCGCACTTCCTGACCCGAAGGTTTCGCCTCGAGCAAAGCAAAGCAAAGCAAAGCAAAGCAAAAGCAACCCACGACGAATCTTCAACTCCTGTGCTGCTGCCACCTGCCAATCACAAGCCGCAGCTGCGCCGTGGCAGTGCGGCACAAGCAAACCGGAAAAGTCTACCAAGTAAGACGGGATCAAACTCTGCCGCCACATTTCAAAACGAAGACACAGATGGGCACGCACACGCACACACATGGGTGCACACGGTCTGCGGTGACACGCACCACCCACCGGCACAAGTGTTGTGCATGCATGGGATGTTGGACGTGTGCGACTCACCCTGGCAACGTTTGCGTGTGGCGAACTGCACGAGCGCCGCTGGGTAGGCCTTTTGCACACTCGCACGCGCCCGACAGAAAGGACAGATGATCTGCATGCATGAGCCAAGAATAGGTTGTCACACGCATGCTGTTCTGGTGCATGTTGTGTGTCTGCATGTGTGTGTGTGTCTGTTGGATTGTGTGCTGCACACGTCGATCATGATCGTGATCGCTTGATCGCGCTCGTGCCCCCGTGTGTGTGTGTATTGGCGGAACACCCTCACAAAACACAAACAAACAAAACACAGCAACACAGCCGACCCACCTCTGCTGCTGACTTGCTGCACGCACAAAGTCACGCACGCACAAAGAAAACGACGGCGGTTTTTTTTTTCTTCTGTCATTGATGGCTACAGTTTATGTTGTCGTTTACAGAGTTTTGGGCACATCTTCAAGAAGGTTGCCAATTTTCGGCTTGATTGCTCACGTTTGGTTTGTTTGAAGAAAGCAACACAGCCTGCACGTTTGTCGTGTGTGCATGTTCTTTGTTGCGTGTGTGTGTGTGTGTGCGTGCAGCCCCAGACACAGCAACCTCTCTGTCTTTGTTCTGCGACGCACACCCCCCACACAAACACAAACACCACGCACAACCTATCCTCCAACCAACCAACCAACCAACCAACCAACCAACTGCTTTTGTGCTCCCGCACTTTCGCCAGCCTTCTCTCATCTTCAACCTTCGGTGAGCTTCCACCCGTTCACCTCCCTTGCTCCATCTGTGATCGTCCGCGCGGGTGATCGGCCTAGCCGATGTTTTGGCTGTTTCTTCAATGTTCTCTCTCGCTCTCTCTCTGCCTTCTTGGTTTGACTGTGTGCACGCACACACATCCACCACCCACCCTCGCTTGCGCTTGCTTACTTACTTGCATGGTTGCTTGCACGAAGGATAGCCTATCTCCCTCCTATCCTTCCCCACCCGCATTGCGTTGTTGTGCCCATTCACACGCCTCATTTTCTCACCTTGCGTCGGTTGCTTGTTTGCTGATCACCACCCCATTCCCTCTTCTGGCTATTGTGACTCCCCACCATCACAGCTCCCGCGTCTCTGATCGTCGGCATCCATCCACGCCCTCAACTGCCTCGGCCGCCTCCATTTAGTCGCTTGCACTTGGCTGCGTCATCACCATCATCAGCCACAACACCGCAAGCCCACACATCACTTGGCTCCAGCAGCACACAAGCGCTCAACCAGCAAACCAGACAAGCCACAAACACAAACAAACCCCTCCCCAGCCGCTTCAACTGGACAATCAACCTCACAGGTAGGCAAGGCAATCACTGCCATGCGCCACGGCCATCCCCACAGTGCCGCTTGCTTGCTTGCTTGCTTGCTTGCCGTCGTGTGTCGGCGCCAACCCTGGCTCCAGCCACCTTCCCCTCCCCTTGCTTCCCGTCCATTCTATCCATTGTTCCCCCCCCCCTTTGTGTTGTTGTGGGCGATTTGACTATGTGTTTTCGATGGTGGCTGGTGATTGTGTAGTTGGTGTTGGTGTCGTCTGGTGTTGTCGTTGTTGTTGGTGTTGTCCCTTTGTGCAACTCTTCCTCAGCGTTCCCACTTGTTTACCCTCCTTCTTCTCCTCCTCCGCCTTCCCCGACCCAGCCGTTCGTTCCACTCCATTGTTTGTTTTGCCCCCAACTTTCACAAACAACAACAACTCCCTCCCCCCCCCCTCTCTTCTTCTTCTCAAACCGTTATTTGTGTTCAAGTCATCTGCCCACACCCCCATCACGACTCACACCCATCTCCCCCCCCCCACCTCTCCATTTCAACATCCACCATGTGCGTTTCCCCTTGCTTGTTGCTCCCAGGGCATTTGGATCTGCGAGTCCCCTTGGCGATCGTTCCCCGACACATCTCCCCAGCCCCCGCCCTCAAGCGCACGCACAAGCACTCCAGCACAGCGCGCCAACCATGAGCGGCCTCACCATGGCTGCGGCCCCGGTCATGTCCCCGGGACTTGAACAGCTCTCCCCGCGCGCACGCGGTGGCAACGGCAACGGCAACGGCAACGGCAACGGCAACGACAACGCCACCGCCACAACAGCAAGCACGCTCTCCGCCTCAATGAGCAAGGTGCCCCTGTTCAGTGCCGACGGCACCACCAAAGCGCACCTGCACATGAGGCAGCAGCCCTCTGTGTTCACCTTCGACAGCAGCACCAACAGCAAGGAGGCTGCTGTGGCCCCGACGTACGCGCGTGCGTCGTCCTCATGGTCGTCGTCGTCGTCGTCGGCCTACCCGGCCAGCGTGCGATCGGCAGCGCCCCTGCTGCGCTCCAAGACAACCGCGGACGTGTTCACCGCACCAACATCAGCCCCCGCGGGTAGCACCGCCACCAGCCTGGCGCCGTCAGCGGGAACGCCAGCAGCGACTGTGGGCCGGACATCAGCCGCCTCCCCCTCCTCGTCATCGCCGTCGTCCACGTCATCGGCGGGGTCGGCGACCGCGGGGAAGCGCGCGCCGCGCGCCAGCGCATCCGCCATCAGCGAAATCCTCAGCATTCCGCTGTCGCAGGCACCAACCAACAAGGCGCCAACAACAACACCATCAACAGCCTCCGCCATGCACCACCACCACCACCACCACAGCCAGCAGGCACAGACTCCCACGCAGGGCCACCACAACACGATGCACAGCCCGGGCCCGCTCTCGGCCATGTCATCCGCTGCTCCGCCATCAGCAGCCATGTTCTCCCCAACCTCCACCAGCAACGGCATGGATGCGGCGTCTCAGGGCGCATACGACAGCCCGCCGCGCCAGGTGCTTGATCTGCAGCCCCCACCAAAGAAGGCTAAGATGGGGGGAGACAGCACAACAACCGCGGCAGCGGCAGCATACTCGATGCCGCCATCCAACATGTTCCCGTCGTCCATCGGCGACTCATCAGCACCAACCTACCACCACCGCCAGCAACACCAGCAACCACAACAATACTACCACCAACACCAGCGACCACAACAATACTACCAGCAGCAGCAGCCTGCGCCGGCCAAGTCGCTTCCATTCTCCAGCACGGCGTCGCTCGCGTCTCTGCTGGAGGCCGGGCAAAGGCTGACGGAGAGCCTGTATGGTGCATCCTCCTTCGAGCACAGCCAGGGCGCACCCCCTTCACCCACACTTCCGTCCGCCGGCGCAGCCACGACAACAGCCGCCAGCCCGGGCGTCAACAACCCGTTCAGCGGCGTTGTGTCGTCGGCGGCCCCAGCTGCCGGCGCACGTGATGTCAGCAACGGCCTCTCGTTCTCCAACATCACCAGCACGGATGGCGGCGCCGCCGCTGATGTGCTCACGGACGCAAGCGCGGCCATCGCCGACATCACGTCCCCGTCGGTGCCGACGGCGTTTGACCGCTTCTTTGCAAGCCTGACGCAGGACGCCACCGACGAGATGGTGGCCTCGCTCAACCCGGGCACGGAGGAGTCGGGTGCATTTGAGTGCGGGTTTGATGTGAACCAGATCCCCACCATCAACGACGCTGTGCTCAACCTCCCGTCGTTGTCTGACAGCATCACCACCGACGATGCCCCCGGCACTACCACCACCGCCGCCGCCGCCTCTGCCTCTGCAGCGCTCAGCCTCAGCAACCAAGGGTCCGTGCATGCGGGCAACAACAACAACAGCAACAACAACGCCATCGGTGAGCGCAGTGTGGGAAGCAAGCAGCACAACGGTAGCAACAACGCCCGCCCGCGACGCCAACGCAAGGCGCTGACCACCACGGCGGCTGCCAGGGCGTCCAAGCGCCGCACGTCTGCCCGTATCCGCCAAGCCCGCACCTCAAAACAGCAGCAGCAGCAGCAGCAGCAGCAGCAACCAAGCTTGCAGCAAAGCATCCAGCGCAGCCAGCTTCCCCAGTTCCACAACTACGGCGAGCAGCATGCGTTTGCAAACCAGGATGGGGTGACACCGCCCCACAGTGCATCTTCGCTGGACTCGTGCGCGTTCTCCGACATGAGCCTGCCTCTCTTCGCTGGCGATGACAGCACGACGGCCCCTTCTCGTCGCTCCAAGAGCAGCCGCCGCTCCAGCCGCCACAGCCAATCCTCCAAGGACTCGCTCAACGCCACGCGCCGCATCGCAAACATGCCGCCGGAGAAGCGCGAGCGCGTGCGCAAGTTGGCACGCGATGCAGCCCGCCGGCGCCGGCGCGAAGAGCGCATGAAGGACACGCACCGCGAGCAGCTGTGCGAAGAATTGAAGAAGCGAAACGACACCTTGCGACAGGAACGCACGCAGCTGCAGATCAAACTCAACGCTCTCGTGCAGGTGGCCATTGAGAAGTTTCCACACTTTGTGTCAACGCAGTGAGCTGGACACTGTGAAAGCGTGTCGTGTGGTTTGAGGTGTTTGATCTGCCATCTCCGGAGAGCTGACAACACTGGCAATGTTACATCGACATGCTTTACACCAACGCCTTCCATCTTGGTTACACTTCTTGCGTTTGCGTGCTGTTTATTCATCCATTCCCATGTTCAAAGCGCTTTCACACCACACCCCCCCCCCCCGCAACTTTCATTCCGTTTTGCTCATCTCCCTCTCATTGCGGGTCTTTTCCACGTTCTCATTGTGGCTGCGTTATTTGCACCCATCGTACCACCACCTTGAGACACGCCACGTGCCGTCTCGCGTGGTTGTGTCTGCGCCTTTTGCCTTTTTTTCTCTTCGTCTTGTGTGTTGCGTACTCAATGCCGCTGCAAACAGCAACAATGCCACTGTTACACCTTTGGGGTTCCTTCCTGTTGTCTGCCCACTCGCTTTCTGTTGGTTATTCTTTGTTCTCTCTTTTCGTGCATGCCCAGTGGGCTCATATCCATCGCCTTCATAAACAGAGTGAACGAACAAAAAAACAAATGAACGATGCACATGCCACGTGTGTGTGTGTGTGTGTGTGTGTGTGTGTGTGTGTGTGTGTGTGTGTGTGTGTGTGTGTGTGTGTGTGTGTGTGTGTGTGTGGGTGGGTGGGTCGGTGGGTGGGTCGGTGGGTGGGTCGGTGGGTGAATGTGCGAACTTGTGATTGCTGGCTGTTGCTCGGACCAAAATGGATCTGGTGGTCGTCGTGTAATTCGTCATCAGTTCACATAATACTAGCACTTACAAACATCGCCTTTGCAATCGCAAACGTCAATGCCAGGCAGCTCGCCACTTGCTGACCCGAATGCACACTCACCAACACCTTCAATCACAACTCCAGTCGCTTACACCTTCTCCTCTCGCTTGGCCCACACGCTTGTCCCACTCCATGGCTCACTCCTCCATCTTACTGCCACCATCACCATCAGCATCATCATCATCATCATCATCATCATCATCATCATCATCATCATCATCATCATCATCATCATCATCATCATCATCATCAAGTGCGACGGCGCGCGCCACCTTGCGCACGGCTGCGTCGTCCATCTCCATCGGCCAGTCGTCCGACCGCCGCATGTCGTCGCTCAGCACCGGCGCAAACTCAACGTCCTCAGAGTCAACCTCGGGCACGCGCACATCCTCCCGCTCCTCTTCCTGCTCGTGTCCGCGCGTCTCAAACGGAAACGTCCGGTTGAACCCAAACCGGCAGTTCTCCCCAGTGCAGCCCGTGTTGTGCCCCATGTCGCGCTCCTTGTCGCTGCTACCGCTGCCATCGCTCGCGTGCCCATCGTTGGCGCTGCTTTCTTTGCCATCAACGGTGCTGCTTTCACCGCCGTCATCGTTGCCATTTGCCAGCCTCCTTCTCTCCTCCTCCGCTTCCTCTTGCTCCTCCTTAAGCCATTGCGCCTGCATCACCCGCCGCTCGGCGTCATATCGCAGCCGCTGCGCCGACACCCGATACCGCGTGCGCACCGTCTCCGCCCGCTTCGATATCCGCTGCGCAATCACCGAGTGTGCGGCCAGATGCAGGAAGAACTGCAGCCGCACGTCGCCCTCCTCCTGCTCCTTGTGCT